GAATTGAAGAGCAAGGAATCCTGAGGGGGAGCTGAGTAGGTGCAGATAGCTGTAAGTTGACCTGGACAATGAGTTCGATGTTTTAGTGGCTAAGGTGTGAGACAGGTCTTCTGCTGGAGACCACATGATGTGCAATCTTAGCAGGTTGGCCTGTGTTGTTGATCCACACAAAACAACCAGTACCTACGCAGGAACAAATGCCCCTTTGTTGGCTGGCAGATGACTTAAATCTAGGTGATGGTCAGCAACCAGAGCGGCCAGGAGCATTGCCTCCCATCTGGGGCTTTGAGGGCTGGAGCAGCTTGAATCACGTACTTAGATGTTATTTTGGTCACTTCTTGATTGGCATTATTTATTTGTTTTATTGTGTAGTATTGTGGTCTCCAATGCAGCACCAGTGACTCCCAACAGTGAGTAGAATCAAGGCAGTTGGTAAGAATACAACATGCTTGGTGGTGACAGTGGGTTGGTGAGCTTGTCTAGAGGCAGGATCCCAAAATAAGTGGAAATTATTTTGAGTCAAATTAGGAGGAGTTGCAGCCTGAATTAGAGGAATACATTAAACGCAGGAAGAAGGGATACTTCAGGAATAAAGGAATAAACCTCATGGGCAAAAATCTTAGCCTCAACTTTGGCACAGATAATGAGCACCCAACATGTTTCCAGTATGTATTTTGCTTAGGATATGAGGTAGGGCTATTTTGGATGGTTGGAGTTAATATTTTGAAGGGAAGAATGGGAGGCCAACCGAGGCATAGGTTCAGAGATGTGGCCTGTGAAAGAGATGCATAAGGAGTAGATTGTGCTATTATTCAGGTTTCTCTAAAACCTGTAGGTAAGTTAGAGGGTGCATGACATAGCCATGATTTGCAGGCTTGCTCACTCTGTAAGGCTCACCTAAAAATGACTTTGTAATGTATCCTCACATGATGTTATTGGAGAGTGGGGCTATTATTACAGAGTGAATCAAAGAAGGATCAGGAAGAACAAGGTTAGGAGGAGAGAATGGCTCATGATGGTTGGGGTTGGATTAAGAAGTAGCAGAACTGGCAGTGTTTGGAGGGTGAAGGAAACACCAAATAGGAGGTATGCAGAGGGCTCAGGATTGTGTAACTTTCATTTGGAGGAATCCAAAGGGTAGATCAAGGTCACCATCACAGATGATTCCAGCTGTAGGTCTGATACCATCACAGAAATGGGGCCAACTGTGGTTCTGATGTCATGTGTGGTCCATCAGGCCATTGCGCTGTTGGCTGAGGGTGAGGTCAGGCTATCACTGGGTTTATAATAATCTTAGACTGAATTTAGGACTTTGTGGCATAAGACCTTGTTGATCAGAGAACACAGAAATATGTAAATATTATTGAAAACTGAGGGGCTCCGTCCTCCAGAAGAGAGGTTGGCCTCTTGTTATGTTGGATCATGTCAGAGGTATAATAATTTCAAGGTGCCTGACACCTGCGTCCTATATAAGTCTCCCCACTCCCCTTTTGATAATAGTCTAACTCGTATTTTGAGTGTAGAGGTCTTCCTGCCGGGGCATTAACAGCAAGTGTATGTGCTCCCTCCAGTGTGATGTGACTGCTTGCAAGTTTACAGTGGGCAGGAGAGGACCCTTTAAACACTGTGGAAATTGAGCAGCAAAGTGGGACTACAGTTATGGCGTCATGTAAGATTGGCTGTGGCCATGGCACCTAAAAGCTTGAATGAATGTGGATGGCAGTGTGGCAGATATAGGTCACAGTGCTGTCTGCTTGGACGGAACTGCTGTGCCACGGGGCACTTCCATGTATAACTGATTGAGGAAACACCAATCTGTTTTCCACAGTGGCCACACCAGTGGCATTCCCGCCAGCAGGGTCTGAGTGCTTCAGTTTCTCACAGCCTGGTGGCACTTGTTATTTTATGATCTGACTCCTGTAGTAGATAAATACACAAAGCAAAGGGACAAAACTAAATCAAAATAAATCTCATAAATCTGACTGCAGGACTGAGGTTATCCGAAAGGTAACATGGAGGAGAGGGGAAGAGGTGCCCAGTGGACTGTGGTGGGGGGTTATTGGTGCTCTGGTGGGGGGTGGGGTGTGGTGACGTGTGGAGAGGTGTGAACCTGTTGTAAACAATGGTTATCACAAAAGAATAAATAACATTTTATAAAAGATCAGATCATCTGCAAAAATATTATGGCTTTTGGAATGGGTGTATGATGGTGGTTTTGAATTGCATTTTGTTGTGGTTTCTGATTTGCATTTTCCCATGAGCATCTTTCCATGTGTTGGCTGGCCACTCCGACATTTCTTCAGAACATGCCGACGTAAGCCTTTTGTTCATTTTTTTACTGGGGTTTGTCTTGTCATTCTGTCAAGTTTTGCTTCATGTAGCTTGGAGATCTGTTATTAGAGGCATATGTTTATTATTTTTATATCTTCTTTCTGGATTGATATTTTAATCAGTATAAAATATTCTTTGTCTCGTGCTACAATTTTTGACTTAACACATATTTTGCCATGTATTACTTTGGCCATCCTAATTTTTTCTTGGTCACTATCTGCGTGGATTTTTTCTCCCTTCCTCTCATGTTCACTTCCTCTGTGTCATTGATGTAAAATGAGTCTCCTGTGCACAGTGTACAGCTGTATCATGCCTTTTCTTTATTCTACCACTTGCTGACTTTTAATTAAAGACTTTAATCCATTTACATTTAAGGCTACTACTGGTTAGAATTACTTATGCTCTTTTGCAATTTGATGTCCGTATGCTTTATGTATTTATGCTTTCTAAATTTTTCATTGCTGCCGCCTTTTATACTTAAAAGGATAGATGTGGGCAGTGACCATAGTGTAGTATATATACATTGCTGACTCGCAATGATGAGTGCCTGAAACATACGACGTTAAAGTGCAATGTTACTTGAACATGTAGTTATAATAAATATAAAAGATGAAATCCAAAAAATAAACTATACACAGTGAAAAAATAATAAAAATTTGGTGTACTTTTTGATTCTCATTTAATTTCCTTTTACTGTATATATTTCAAATTATGTTCTCAGTGGGTTTTTCAGAGATTATAATTATCATCTTAATATTAACCAGCCTGGTCAGAATTTGTACCGCCAAAGTGTCAATATTATACATAATCTCGGGCCCTCAGCCTCCTCCCTCCTCTTCTCTATTGCTACTATCACAGATGACATCTTTATGTTTTGTGTCTAATTTCATAGGTTTATAGTTATTATTTAATGTTTTCAAGGAAAGCAAAAGAGGGATTACAAATAAAAATAATGATACTGGTTTTTAATCTTTACCTGTGAAGTTGTATTTACCAGTGATTTTTCTGTCTTCCTCAGCTGAGTTACCATCAATGCTTTTAGATCAGTCTTAAAGATTAGCTTCAGCATTTCTTATAGAATATATCTACATGCAATAAACTCCTTAAGCTTTTTTAATTTGATAATTTGTTATTGTTTTGAAAAAAAATACTGCCAGTTATATTACCTTGGTAAGCAGTGTTTTCCTTTCAGAACTTTAGAACTTCATATTTCCACTAGTTTTGGCCTCCAAGAATGAGAAATCAGTTATTATTTTTATGAAGGATCCCTTGTAATTTCTTAGATGTTTGTTTATTTACTGCAGTTCCCCAAGGATTATTTCAGTGGCTGGGAACCAGCTACCAAAGCTGGTCTTCCTCTTCTCAAGATCTCGAAGGCCAGAGTTTCATAGAAGTTAAACAACTCACAAGTCAGCAGGGCCAGGAAATAATGCAGCCATACTTGGAATCGAAGTTTGCTCCCTTTCCTTCTGTTCTCACCCCTTTCTGTCAGTTTCCATCTTTCCCCAAGGATGTGTCCCAGGGCAACCACCATACTAAGACTAGAGACACACACATCCCTGGGGGTGCCACGGATGAAATGCAAAACCAAGACACACACTCCTGCCTTCCATGTTCCTTGGCGAGCGAGAGCTTAGGGAATCAAAGTGTGAAACTAAGTTAATTACTTCATGTTTGTCTCTGAGGATCAGCCAGGGGAATCATACCCCAGGAGATTCGGGACCTAGAAATACTTGGGTGACAATGTACACAAAGAGCGTCTCACACCCGACCCTGAAATCCGGGTGGTTTGTTCTCCAGCTGGCCCATGCAACCAACAGCCTGAGGTCCTGTCACCTCCCCATTTGCTGTAGGCTTACAAGAGTCGGGCATGACGGACCCATGGTTCTCTGAGAGCAACGGGGACCTACAGAAACAGGGTGGGTTCCTGTGGTGGTAAATGCTGTTGGGACAGTTCCGTATGGTGAATGCTGTGAGAACGAATAGGGCAGAGTTACGGTTTCCCTTTGACACCCTCAAGGTCCTGATCCGCCCCCCTGCCCATCCTCAGACCATCCTGCTGACCAGCGGTAATAACTCCCTTACAGAGTGAGCACCCCTCCATCCCACTGCCTGCCTACTTCAGCGGAAGAGGCTAAGCTCAGAGGTGTCTGTGATGTCTGGTCTTTAGGGGCATGGGAAATAGTTGGAAATAGTCCAAGATTGTATTTCTTATCTTCTTTGTGATAATGCACAAGTGACAATTTCACTGACTTTGGAAAACTCATTTGTGAAGTATGTGTCACAATATTTATGAGTATTCAGATAGATGTGGCATTGTATGGTGCTTAAGGTTCCAAGTAGCAACTCTCACGGCTCCTGCAGTCGGTGAACTGCTGTCAGGGTCTTAATGAATCTATAGCAAGGATGGCAGTAATTTGGAATGCACCTTCCAACCTGTGCTCCTGACCTTGATTTTGCATTTTAGCCTCTGTGCCTCTTGGTTTTCCTTCCTCAGGAAGATGGAGGAAGGGCCAGTGGGCAGCCTTGGAGGAAGGCCTAGTGCCTTGGGCTATAATCATTTGAATTCAGTGTGTGTGGTGGGGTGTCTGTTTTCAAGAGAGCTAACAGTACTACTTCACTACATTTTTGTCGTGTTTCTCTTCTCTTCTTCCAGAAAGAGTGGTGGGATGGACGGAAGCAACCAGTCTAGTGTGCCCGAATTCTTCCTCTTGGGTCTCTCTGAAAGGCCAGAGCAGCAGCCTCTCCTATTTGGCATCTTCCTGGGCATGTATCTGGTCACTGTCGTGGGGAACCTGCTCATCATCCTGGCCATCAGCTTTGACCCACACCTCCACACTCCCATGTACTTCTTTCTGGCCAACCTCTCTTTTGCTGATGCCTGCTTTTCTTCCACTACACTCCCCAAGATGCTGGTCAATATCCAGACACATAGTCAGGCCATATCTTATGGGGGGTGTTTGGCCCAGATGTACTTTTTCATGACATTTGGGGCCCTGGATGACTTCCTCCTGGGGGTGATGGCCTATGACCGCTATGTGGCCATCTGCCGGCCCCTCCACTACTCCTCACTCATGAGTCCGCTGGTGTGCGTGCTCCTTCTTGCTGTATGTTGGGTTCTCACCAGCCTTGCTGCCCTCTTACACATTCTGCTCACGGCGAGGCTTTCTTTCTGTGCTGACCACATCATCCATCACTTCTTCTGTGATGTGGTCCCTCTGCTGCAGCTCTCCTGCTCGGACACTGGTGCCAACCAACTAGCCCTGTTCCTCGTGGGTTCTACGATACTCACGGGCCCCCTGTCACTGATCATCTTGTCCTATGCCCGCATCCTCTCCACCATCCTCAGGGTGCCATCTGCCTCTGGCAGGTGGAAGACCTTCTCCACCTGTGGGTCCCACCTCACTGTTGTCTCCCTGTTTTATGGAGCAGCAATCGGGGTTTACCTGTGCCCTCCTTCACCAGACTCTGGGGGTAAGGACAGAGTTGCAGCTGTATTTTACACAGTGGTGACCCCCATGCTGAACCCCTTCATTTATAGCCTCAGGAACAATGACATGAAGACCGCCCTGAGAAGGGTTTTCATTTACATGCTGACTTCTCAGGGCCTTTAGTCCTACCTCTACTGGTATATTTGAAGTTAGCCTCCAAGAACCTGATATGCTTCTAAGCACTATCACCTCCCTGCCATGTTTGCTCAGGTTTTAGAGAAAAGTGACCTATAAATCATTCTTTCCAACTCCCAAATCTGACAGTTTATGGGTCAGTATATTTTCTAAAGGACTTCTACTCACAAATATTTCCCTAGTGTTGTGTGGAGTCATGTAAGGGGACAGGAGCAAGGTCAATTAGAATGTTTGTTTGATGTTATTTTAATGGAACACAATATTAAAAGAAAGTTTTAATATATTCATCACACCATTCTTCATTTTTGAACAACGTATGGCTGCCCCGTGAAATCCCCACTGCCTACTCCGCCGTGCACCATCATCATAGGCCCGGTGCTCTTCCCTCTCCTGTCCTGGTCCTTCTCCCTCAAGACTGAACAGTTTTGTTAATGTAGTTCTTGTTTCCTAGTTCAGCTCCATAAAATCTCTTTGTCAGTTCTGTTCTGTGTGACTACCTCGCCCTATATTTTGCTGTAGTGCTTTGATTCTGGCTGCAGATAAGCCTTATCCTAGTGTTCCAAAAGTTGCTAGAGATGTCACCCTCTTCTCTTTCATAGAAACAAAACAAAACAGGTAATTTCAGCGCAGTTAGGGTTGAGACACTGAGTGGAATTGTATTCCTGGAAACAAAAGGATAGATGAAATAAAGTATGAAAAGAGTTCATTATTTTTTTAAATCTGCTTAGGGTAAAAATCAGTTGGGGTGTGGGTAGTACAGGAAGTCCCTGAGTATTTCATGCTGGCTTAATTCTTTCAGCCTTAGTTCACTTTTTTATTCTAGGTCAGCTGTAATTCCCCACTGCTCCTTAAGTTTCCTGGACCACTGCGCGCCACCTGTGGCTCTTGCTCTGCATAGTGCTTAGCTCACTTTTATGTATTATTTTAGTGGGTTTCTTAGTGCTCTGACAGCTGAATGGATTCTTCCATTCCCACTATTAGTTAGAGCCGACTGGGGTGGGTGACTAAGCAGCTGCGTTCCTGGCAGCCTGCCTCTACTCGTTCTCAGTCTCACAGCATACCATCATTTTATCCAGGAGCTGGGTTCAGGTGACTTCCACCCCAACAGCAGGGTGTGAGTTGAGTGAAAAGAGCCAGAAACCCAGGTAGCAGGTGTGGCGTCTGGACCGACACAGCTGCTGCCTTGCTCTCCCGCCTTGCTCTCCTCTCCCCCATCTGCTTGAGCAGCCATTGTGGGGCCCTGCCGTCCCCCCGCCCTGGCTCCAGTCTTACAGCTGGGGAGCGACAGTGACTTAAAAAAGGATCATTTTTAAAACTTAGTTTTCTTCCCTGCAGCCCTCTCACTCACAGCATCAGGGATGAGTGCAGCCCATGCAGGGCTCACCCGCTGCAGCTTGGGTAGCATCCGGGTGTCGGGGGGGGGCGGTTAGAGCCCCTCATCTGCACCAGCTGCTCCAACGGGATCACCTGGTATTAGTCTTTCTAGTAATGGAGCCTGGGATAGGGCACGTATAATAGCAGACTTCATTAACTTATTGAACACTTTATACTTTTTTTTTCCTGGGAATTCTTTCCCATATTTTCCTTGGGTGCTCTTAACATTTTCTTTCGCATCAGTCCATATGTTCTGGATGGTCTGGACTATGCTATGTGTTCCTCTACTTAGACCATAGGAAAAGTTAAATTATTAAGGGTTAGACATATCAATTTAGGGAAAGAGAAAAATTATGATTTAAATAATAATTTTATTAAATAAACATTTTATTAATAAATGTTTGAGGTCTATAAATACCAAGATATGGTATGTGTTCATTAATTTATGAATGGAAAGAGAACTGTGATCTATATACTCAATGGAATACTACTCTGCTATTAAAAAGGTGAAATCTTTCCCCTTGGGACAACATGGATGGCACTGTAGGAGTTTATGCTAAGGAAGAATAAGAGAGAAAGTGAAACAAATTACTGGTTGGTTTCTCACATCTGTGTACTGTAAGTAACCAAAACAAACTGTCAAATTAACAACAACAAAAAAACTTAAAAAAAAATTTTTGTTACCAGAAGAAAAGGGGGGGTGGGAAGGGAAGGGGGATCAATTTGATAGTGGGGATGATACTGGAGTTTTGTGATGAGTGTGGAAGCATATCAAGGTGTGAAGCTATATTCTTGCAACTGATATAGTTTGGTAAACAAATGGTAAATTAATAAAATAAGAATAAGTGCTTGAAGAATGAGCCACTGGTACTCTGCTTCTGTTCTGAAGTCACCCTAGTGTGCATTACAGAGAGTGGAAAGAAGAAAAGAATACTTTTCCAGACTCTTTTGCAGATTGAGTTCTGGATATAAATTAGGTTCTATTGAACAGATGCATTATGTGACATTGGGAATATTAAAATGAGGTAGCAGTCCCCTGAGTTCTTTTTCTTGCCAGATATATGCCAGAATATATCAGACATATTCGTGGGGCACTTTTCTGCAGCCAAATTCTGGGTCTAGTCGTTACATAGGGAGATGTTGAGAGGCTTGCCTTGCACTGAGAGCTGGCATTCACTCTGTGTCTAGACATCGGGTTCCTGGGAACCGAGAGGCAGTTTTGAAGCTGATAGCATGGGTTGCAGCTGACTGATTTGCTCTTGAATTCAAGAATCTAGTGACAACCTCTAATTCCCCTTTCCTAATTGCATAAGATATAGACTTTTCCCATGTGGATCCGATTATTCTGGCTCTTTTTTTATTATTAAAGATTTATTTATGCATACAGAACTGGGGTACAGGCCAGAGGTACAGGGGCAGTGAGAGGATTCACCAGAGACAGAGTGGGGAGCAGAAAGGCAGATGGATGAAGTACACTGCTGAGGGGAACAGCAGGCAGGTCAGGAGAGAAAGGCTGCACCATGTAGGTCACCTCCTTGGTAGGGAATCAAGCGTCCACAAACTGAAGCAGCCATGGCTAGCTTTGCAGTGCTGGGCTTTAACCCGTTGCCCTACCTAGGGACAGGCCTAGGGAGGGCCCTAGTATTGCTCTTAAGGTTATTCCTGGAGACTCATTTTAGAACCTGAGCTTCTGTAACTTTAAGCGACTCTGTAAACACCCAGTTCCCTGCATTAACAGTGTGCGTGTTGGTCAGCACCCAGCACAACACACAGAGACTCATCTGTAGTGGAGTGGAGGGGCTAGTGGGTGGCTGTGTAGCAGTCATCGGCCTGCACAACCAGCAGGCATTGTAAAGGCCACCAGACAGAAGGAGGAAAGAGAGCTGTGTGAGGCACTGGGGACAGCAGGTGGTCTGACTCTGGGTATAAATGCGGGCCAGCATCTTGGGGATTGTGGCAGAAGGAAAACAAGCTTCCGCTAGTGATAAGTCAGCTAGAAAAAAGCCCATGGGAGTGTGGAGGTGTGGGTCAGGACTGGCGGCCAGGGTGATGAGCAGGTTCGCCATCACGGTGCCCAGGAAGATTCCCAGGAAGATGCCAGATAGGAGCGGCTGTTCCTCCCGCTCTCAGAGAGTACTGGGAGGAGGAAGCCTGCAACAGCAATTTGGTTCCCTCTGCTTAGTTTCCCCATTCCTGGTAGTTCTTATTACCTGTGCGGATGAAAGGCTTCCCTTGTCAGTATTTAATTATTAAATCAGTTTATAAATATGTATTTGTGTATCTAGAAATGTGTCCGGGGACAGTGGGAGGGAGAATAAGTGGATCTGTCGATGACAATCTGTCTTCTTGGGAATGTAAGAAAATACCGATGGGGCATTTAGAGGCCGGCAAGCGAGTCGCTCTTCAAATACAAGTGTGTCTCTCGCTATCGTGGGGCCAGAGGAGAGACATCAGTTTGACCAGAGAAGTTGGTGCAGCTATCGGATGAAGCTGAGGATGGGGGTCCAGGTTTTGCCTGTGTTCTGCTTTCCTTTCCTTGAAGGCATCGCCATGTGGTGGTTAGTGAATCTCTGAATTTGACCTGTTTCACGCTGCATACTGGGCAATGTCTTGGTTATGCAAAATGACCTTGAGGTCTATTACAGAGCAGAATGACTACAGTTTACTGTATTGTATACACAATATTTTCTAAGAGAGTAGATTTTTTAAATCAAGTTTTTATTTACTTATTATTTTATATAGCCATGTAGTTTGGGGAGTACAACTCCACACCTTAATATCTACACAAGTTTCCCTCAGCAAAGAGGGTGAATCTTAAATGATCCTGTCACCACACACACACACACAAACAATGAAATAGTGTCTATGTGGGAGGATTGGCTATATTAATTAGCTCAACTGTGGTGATCATTTCACAATGCATATATATTAAAACACCAAGCTGTATACTTTAAGTTTATAAAACATTTAGTATATATCAGTTCTGTCACACTTAATGCTGTTATAAAAAAAGAAATTATAATTTCCTGTAAGGAGCATGATTCTACTAGCTCTATAATTTTCCAGTCAAAAGATGAACATTAATCAACAGTATCAGTTCAGAACTCAAAACTTATACTAAAGAACAGCAATGGAAATAGAGAATAACAGAATTCAATTCAGTTTTCAAATATTTACTGAGCATTTATTTCACACTGGATACAAGATTAGGGGTGTAGCACCTGGGGAGATGAGACACCACCTGTCTGCTGTAAAGAGGAGCAGATGTCATTGAGAGGAGACTATTGCCCTATTGAAGAGTTTCTCCAGGGCCCCCTTCATGTCTCTGTTCCTTAGGCTGTAAATGAAGGGGTTCAGCAATGGGGTGACCACAGTGTACATCACAGAGATAATGACATCCTTGTCACTGGAGGTGCTGGAGGAAGGAAAGAAATACAGCCCCATAATCGCTCCGTAGTACAGAGACACCACAGCCAGGTGGGAGCCGCACGTGGACAAGGCCTTGCAGATCCCCTTGGTAGAGGGAACCCTCAGGATGGTGAACCCGATGCGGACATAAGACACCAGGATGCACATTAGTGGGAGAGTGATGACAGCCACTCCCACTGTGAAGATGACCAGCTCATTGAGGGATATGTCTGAGCAGGAGAGCTTGAGCAGGGCACCAAGGTCGCAGAAGAAATGGGGGATGGTGTTGTCAGCACAGAAGGTCAGCTGGGCCAGGAGGAGGGTGTGGGAAAGGGCACTGGCACAGGACAGGACCCAGGATGCAGCTACTAGTGAGGCGCACAGCCCCTCGCTCATGATGGTGGTGTAGTGCAGGGGGTGGCAGATGGCCACGTAGCGGTCATAGGCCATGGAGGTGAGGAGGAAGCTGTCCAGGTCAGTAAAAAATATGAAAAAGTACATCTGGGAAATGCAGCCGGCATAGGGGATGGATTGATCCTGAGTGCTCATGCTCACTAGCAGCTTCGGAACAGTGACAGATGAGAAGGAGACGTCAGTGAAGGCCAAGTGGCTGAGGAAGAAGTACATGGGGGTGTGGAGGCGCGAGTCCAGCCTGATGAGCAGGATGATGAGCAGGTTCCCCAGCACCGTGGTCAGGTACATGCCCAGGAACAGGGCAAAGAAGACCCCCCGCTGCTTGGGAAGGATGGGAAGCCCCAAGAGGAGGAACTCGGACACGCTGCTCTGGTTCTTCATCAGCAGCTGCTCATGTGTGCCAGGGATGAGAGAACAGCGAGAAGGTGGAAACCAGCCACGTGGAAACAGTGAGAAGGTGGTCCACAGCCTGTGGGTGAACATGGGAGCTTTCCACTGGGGCTCAGGCCGTGTCTGCCCACACTGCTCTGTTCCCACAAACATCTCCTAAAGTGGGTGTTGTTCTCATTCACAAGGAGAGAATTTTTCCAAGGAGAAATGCTTGATATAAGGTGGAAGCTATGTCCAATAAACAAAGAGCAAGTCTCACGTTGTCTTAGCAGAGTATTAAGCAAAATCACCCTAATATAGATTCAATTTTGTACTTTTAAAAACATTCCTCAGGCTAGATTTAATCATCAAGGTGTAACACACTGAGGTTTTGAAACTGGACTTCACAATCCTTTAAAAGGTGAAGTACAGGGAGACGCTTTCAACACCACCTGCCCAAAGGGAAGTGATAAGAAGTGGCTACGTTTCCAGGCTGTGTGAAAACGGAAGTGATAAGAACATCAGTTGACTGAACTCAGAGTTTCTCAGAGTGCAGCCTCTCAATGTCACCACCACCAGTGTAAAAACTGTACGTATCCATGACTAGAATCCCATTTATCAGGCTCTCTGAGATGCCTCTACAGTCTCCTCCTGATTCAACAGGCTTCTTGTGACACCCTGACTGTCCACAGCCTGTGATAGAAAGGGCTGTAGAGAGAGATGTCAGAGACGAGCCAACGAGGGGCCCAGACCCCCTTTTTAGCGACCTCCTTTGGGCTCCCCCAGATTGAACTATGTGCTTAACTGCCCCATAAAATTTCCAGAGGCATCCAGGTTCCCCAGTCAGTAGGTTTTGTGTCTTATAAAACCTATGTGTCCTCCCACAACAGCCACTTTCTACCCTCCCAGTAAAACACGGTAAGTCCTGTACATACACTATACGAGACGAGCCTCACTGTGGAGACCACTAACCCGAGAACAGCCGAGAGCTACTGCAGGTTAGGTTATTCTCCTTCCCGCCACTCCGAGACCCATTTACTGCACCCCACCCAGTAGCTCCTCCCAGCAGTCAACCACACAGCAGTCAAGGGGCCACCAAGCCCTTCACTGGGATCACAAACCGCAGTGCGAGTGTCCAGCAACTGGACACCCTACTGTTCCAGCGTCCCCCTTCTTCTCCATTCGCTCTGCTTCCCTTCCTGTTTGTAAGGAGGATTGATCCTTTCTGAGCCTGTAAACTTACCTGGCCTGTGGATTGAAGATTTTAGCAACATGTCCACTGTGGCCATACCTTATTACTTTACTTCTTTGGCATGAGCTCCAGTAAAGACCATATACAGACTCTCTCCTCGCCACACCCAGTCTGCTCCCAGCAACCCACATTCCCTGGACATCTAGGCTGAGTGTTCTCAGTGGTGTAAGATGGGATTTGGCATCAGACTGAGTGAATCCAAGCCCCCCCTGGCTACTGTCTGTTGGATCTAAGGTATTGTCGCATCTCTGGAGCCTAAGGTTTGCTGCCCCAAATTGGCATATTGGTCCCTAAATAGAGTAAGAAGTAAATAAAGCCATGTGTGTAAGACTCTTGATGCCTAGGAGGTGCCTATCTGGGGCAACTTTGCTTCCATTAAATGTCAGATGCCAGGAATCTCTAGGGAAGAAGCTCAGTGTCCTACCTCCAGTGGAACAAAGTACAAGCAGTTGGACAATAGGTCTTTCCTGGGCTCAAGGTTCGACGCCTTCATGAAGGAACTCCAGACAGTAAATCCCAGCAGATTCTAATGAGGATGGTAATAGAGGTGCTATTTTAAGGAAGACCCAAGTGGGGTCCTCTGGGTCAGCACTGTCCTCAGACACCCTCAGGTCAAGGCAGCTGTGTTGATTCCAGGGAAGGGACAACCAGCAACTCTGGGGAGAACAGGAGGGTGGGCTGGTGAGCTCTGGGCCCTAAGCAAGGACACAGCTGACACCAAGACCTTGACTGAGAGGTGGGGTTCTCAGCTGGGAGCAGGATGTGCCCACTCATTTACTCAGCCAGCCGGTTCTGAGCCTCCTGTCCCCAAGACTCTCGGGGTTCTCAGCCTGAGAGCCCTGGCTACTGGCGCCCAAGGTGACCCTGTCCTCACAAACTACAAATAAGATGACATCAGCCAATGCACAGACTGATGAGCACCTGCACACCCCCCACCCCAGACACACAGACATACACGCACACCTCTGCTCCTGATGAAGATACCAGTTCTTCTCTGAGCTTTATGCTCAAGTCATCTAGTTACGAGGAGTATGGACGGGTTTCTTAGCTCTACAGGAGACCCAGAGATCAGTGTAGCCTACAACTTCCCTGGTCCTAAACTTCTTACAGACATCAGAGATAGCATCAGAGAGCCAAGGCATGTGCCTGGAGTGCGCACTTCTCAGTTCACCAGCTTCAGGAATGGAGATGTGAAGACTCTGCTCTATCCACTTGAGGAGGACCCAAGGGGATAGCCCAAGCCCTTGGCTAGAGACAAGCACTAGACATGTTTTAATTGCTTGGTTTTCATCTTACTCCCTCCAGGACAGATGCCCTGGGGCGTGTCCCTTAACGTTGATGTTTAGCAGGAGCACCCAGGGAGCTTGTTAGGGACGCAGGTCCCAGCACCCCTCCACCCCCCCAGAGATGCTCACTCAGCAGATCTGGCCTCGAGGTTCGCAGGCAGAGCCCTCAGTGCAGACTTTCAGGAGGAAGAGTGAGCTTGGGGAGAAGGTTCTGTGAGTGTGAACCCAAAGGAGATGGGGAAAGCTACCAGCCCTTCCCCCAGCAGGTTCATGTTTCTCCTACTTAGCTCATAGCTTAGGATGTGAAGAGGGAATTTCCTCTCTCAAATAGAAATTGCTTTGTGGTTGGTGCTTACACAATTAATCCTGCTTTGTGATAGTATTCCAAGTAACAGACATGAAAACAAAGGAGAAAGTACTTCACCTTGCCATTTATATTTCATTTTATATTTCTCTAACACGATTCTTATTTATTCTATTTACATTTATATAAATGGCAAGGTGAAGTACTTTCTCCTTTTCTATAATAATTTATTGCGATAATATTTACATTTCTACTTTTCATGTTGATACGTCTAATGTTAAGTTTTACAATTACAAATTTTAAGTCAGTGTCCTATTGATCAAAATTAAGGATTCATAATGAAACTTAATTATTAACTTAATACTGTGCCTCAAGATCATGTCTTTTGTCAGCTCTCTGGCCAAGACTACTTGAATATCATTCAGTGCACTCCCTTCTCTTAGTACCACTGTGACTGTGGCTCTTGCCCTTTTCAAAAGAGAATAGCTAACATTGAAAATGCCTATGAGAACACTTGAGAAATGGAAGCCCAGATTGAGGCCTACGGAAAAACTGTCGACATAACCAGATTCTTTGCATTTATCCACAAGCTAATCAAAGCTTATTGGATGAGCTGGATGAATAATGAAAGGTGTTGTCATTATGATATTCCACACAAGTATCAAAACTCAAACTGTTTAAGTTTTGATATCCATATTTACATTCAGACACAGAGTTTGTGGTATCACCACAGCCTTAAATTTCACTTCAGCTGCTGGGTACATACTAAATTGGTTTTATATTTGAGTATAAAGTTGGGTAAACTTACTCCCTTTTTAACAGAGCAGGTGCAATGAGGAGATGAAAAGGCTGTGGTAAGAGCTTGATGCACATAATAGTAATAGTAGTAGTAGTAGTAGTAGTAGTA